GCCCATGGCAGGGGTGGTGCAACATGAGCAGATGAGGAGTCCTGGCTCAGGGCACCAGCAGAGCAGTGAGGACCTCGTTAAAGGACCAGCATCAGTGTCTGCTTTGGGATCAGGGGCCGATAGGTGGACAGAGCTGGAAATGTGCCATCCAGACTTGGTTCCAAGTGGCCATAGATGGCCCATCCACAGTGTCCAACTTGCTCTGCCAAGGGGTAACCATTTCTCTGTGCTAAACTCCAGTTTCAGTTTGGTTTGTGTCATCTCACAGACATCAGACGGGTGCACTTCTGCCTGCTGATACAAGAGCCTTGTCTGCTCTGTTCCCACTTTCCTCTTGCATTCTGATGTGCGACCAAACTATGCCTTGCTCTGCACTAAACCCCTCACAGAACGCCACTTGAGTTGTGCAGTGCCCGTGACTCCTTCTGGAGCCTTTCCTAGAGCTCCATGGTCCCCCTGCACCATGAGCCCCAACAGCACACAGGTTCCCACAGCCACGAAGGGCCATGCCACCACTGCAGCTGGATGTTTGGCCACACGAGCAGCCACCAGTGTGTCCCACACGATACTAGGATGTGCCAGTGCAGCAGCTGCTGCATGAGCTGCTTGTGCATTCGTGTAAGTACAAACAAGACCTTAAGTCATGTCTTCTTTGGCTCATCTCTGTGAAACAGGGATCACAGCATTTGTTTTGCAGAGGGGCCCTGCAGTTTGGTTCATGAATGTCAAGTGGTTTCAGCTCCTGTGATGGAAGATACTGGAGATGGACAAATGGGCACCAATGGCCTAAAGCTGATGAAAGCCCAAGCAGTGGTCTCACCCAGCTGCCCTGTTTGCTAATCCAAGTGTGTAATCAGCACATACAGGCAACGTGTTGGCTTGGGCTGTGTCACACAGCAGCTCAGAACATTCTCACTGTGAGCTCATGCACCCCAAGAGGGGTGATTGGTGTTTGTGCAACCACCAAGGATGGGCGACGTGCAGGGGAGGACGGAGCTGGTGGTGGCATGATCACGAGATGGGTGTCATCAACACACAGCCATGGCACAGACAACATGCAAACCTCCTTCCACCCCAGCCACTCTGCCCTCCAGCTCTCCTGAATGAAGTCCCAGCTTTGTTTTTCTGATTTCCATTTTGTATCCTAAAATATTCACTCCAAGTTCCGCTTGACAGACATGCCTAATCTAATCTCCATGTCTGCTTTCTAATTTTCGCAGCCAGGATAAAACAAATTGGCTGGCGTTAATTGCCTGTGCAGCGGCCTGGAGCTCTGAGCCGTGATTTACGAGCTTGGAGCAGGCGCTCTGCAACACATTTTTCTTAATTTATTTTTAATGAGTCTCTCAATTAATTTTCTTGGAAACATCTTAATGATGTTGGAGGCGGATGTTAATGAGGTTTGTAGCAGCACCTCATTTTGCATATTTTAATGTACTGAATGGCATGAAGCAAAATCCTGGTCCTAAAACAGAAAAAACCTTAAGACTGGAAAGGACTCCTGGGCTGACATTGCTGCTCTGGCTTGAGGCTGAGGCACTGCACGGGCTAGTTGGTGACTTTGAACATTGTGAGGCTGAAGCTGGGTGAGCCCACAGGGATGGCAGGACCCTGGCAGCATGGGGAGGGTGAGAGGCCATGCTGGGTCATGGTTGGTAGCCAGACACTTCTTAACAGATGGAGTGAAAGCCTGGATACAGAACCTGGGCACTGAGACCCCCCGTGCTGGCATGCCCCGTGTTGTGGGCACCCCATTCCCTGCACAGCCCTTTTGGGCAGGAGCTCTCCCAGACCCAGGGCGGGGCTGCCTGGGGCTGATGACTGCGGGGTGCTCGGGGTGTCTCTGCCGGCCCGCAGGGTCACCAGCAATTGCTGACGCATGTGCCAGCAAGAGGCAGCAGCTGGATCGCCTTTGTTTGCTCCCAGCATGTCAGTCTTCATTAAACTGGAGGGGAATGAAAAAGGATTCACTTTTGTCCCAGCCTGAACATGGCAGCTGTTTAATTTCAATTAAGGTGGCACTGAAAAGAGTAGCATTAAGGCAGTAATTAAAGTGAGACAACTCCCACCCCCAGGACTGTGCTCACACAGCAGAGGGGCCAATTTTGACCCCCACCGTCCTCCCAGCACCAGCTGAGTATGGGCAGGCAGCTGTGGGTCAGGGCCGTGGGGCTGCCCCACACGCTCACAAGGAGCTGGAGCAGTGTTGACCCCTTCAAGGCAAGCGCTGCCTGCAGCTCAGCACGGTGTGGCACCTCTGGTATAGAGCAGCATTGCCTGTAGCACAGTGTAACATGGCATGAGGCTTTGTCCCATAAAGGCTCTGTGCACTGTGGATGCTTTGTGCCCTGGCTGTCACTGCCTGAACAACACTGAAGTCTGCAGGGAAATTTTATTTCCTCGCAGTGGCAGAAACTGTGGCCAAATTCAGTTGTGTTCTGGAAGCAGGGGGGGTCAGCAGCCCTGCTCACAGGACTGTTGGTGCTGTGCCTGATCCCATCACCCGTGACTGTGACCCACTGGTGGAGCAGGTTGTCATGGCAACTGATGATTTCTGCTATGGTACATTTGCGTTCACCTTCTGGGCCCAGTTCAGCCTTGGAAATTTCCAGTTAAAACACGTACCTGTGAAACTGCAGAGCGTTGGCATGGGAGCACACACAGCCCAGAGAGCCCCACGTCACCAGCGCAGGCAGCAGCAGGCCTATGCTCACACCACCACTGGCACCCAGAGGCCCGTGTCACTAATGCCACCTGGGCACTGTGGGGTGGCCCCAGGCAGGGCAGGACAAGCAGACACGCACTCTCAGCCTTTCCTGTGCACACTCAGCCTCCCCCGGGGCCTGTGGCCCATGGCCCTGTCAGGATGTGCCCCTGCAGTAGGTCCCCTCAGCCCTGTCCCTTGTGCGGGTGGCTGAGCACAGGGCACAGCCCTGAGCGCTGCCATCCCCACTGTCACCTGGCCCTGGCCACAGCCCAGCAGCGTGGCCTGAGGACAGTGCAGGGGCAGCATGAGGGTGGCAAGGCCCTGCCCTGACACACGGGTGCTGCCATGTCCTGGACCAGTTCTGAGGATGATGCCCAGGACCTGGTGACCTCACAGTGGCATATGGAGTAGTGTCACACAGCATGCCAGGGACACAAGATGGTGAGGAGAATGGCACAGGAAGGCTGCGGGCAGCAGCAGGACCAGGTGCTGCTGAGGAGAGGGCTCAGTCCCACAGAGCTCTGCCCTGCTTTTCCAGGAGCCCCAGGCTAGGCGTCTCCTGCTGGCAGCAGGTGTTCCTCAGACAGCGAGGGCAGTGCCAGTACCGTGGGAGGGTGGGGCTGCCCCAGGCAGGGCTGAGTGACATCGTGGAACTAAGGGTTGTCTGGGGCTGCAGGAAAGGTTATGGTCCTTCCAACTGTGAGAAAGTGGCCAAAATTTGGCACATCTGGGGAGGTTCCTACACCTCAGAGAATTGCCTTCGCAGGGGTATAGGCCAGGCTTGAAACACGGACAGGCTGTATTTGTCCTTCAGGTCACTTCAGTTCTGTGCCCTGTTCCAGGTTCTACAGGGCAACAACCTGACAGCACCAGCCCTGCATGACTCTGCAGAGCTACCTCCACCAGGAGGCAGAGCTACCACAGCTACCTCTTCCCGGACAAGAAGCAGTGCAAAACAAAGAAAGGACTAGACTGACAACCTTTAAACAAATAAAATTCTTTCTGTTCTGTAATAAAATTAGTGCCAAGCACCAAAGCCTTCCAGGGCTACAAGCTGTAGAGACCTCAGAACACATTGATTAGGGTAGGTGGGCACCACCTTAGGCCTCAAAGCAACAGGTTGTGCCTTCTTAGAGACCAAAGCGGGCTGGGGTGCGTCGTGGCGTCAGGGCCTCCCCCTGCTCCTTTCGCCCAGGGGTATAGATTTTAGTAGATCTGTCAAAGAGGACAAGGGCAATTAATGGAAAATGCAACCTTTTCCTGCACCTGAACTCCCACAGGGAAGCAGGCAAGCCACGGGCAGGCAGGGCTATCACGCACCTTGCGCTGCCCAGCGGGTTACGGCGCTCCTGCTCCTCCCGGCGGGCACGCAGCTGCTCCTCTGCCAAAGCCATTTCCTCC